GTTACTGAGTGACAGTGTGAGGGAGAGGGATTAACATCAGTAGGGATACAGTCAGTAACACAGGGTTCTGGGGGTGGAGTGTTGTTAATGAGTGAATCCCCTGACACCCGCGGCGACTATAACTATTACAGGTTTATGTTGTCATTTTATTCCCTGCCCCCAACAAACTGATTTTAAGCTCCTGAGCCCACCATCCCAGCCATGACGTCACAGGCCCTACCCTGACCCCCAACAGACGTCATGCCCATCCTCAGGTTCTATTGGCTGCCAATCCGTCTGTCAAGCCAGTAATCCCATCTCCGGCCGGCCCCCTATAAGCCCCGCCCCCTGGCGGGGCCGTTAAAGGCGGCGGGAAAATGGAGGATTTGCTGTGGGGTGGTGCTGATCATATTCATCGCTTCCCCCCGGCCCTCGTGGTGATGATGCTGATAGTTTATTCCCTCTCTTTGAGGATAATTATATTTTTATAGTTTTACATTAATTGTGTTGTCATTTAACCCTACTACGTCAGACTGACCTGAAGCTCCGGCTCCGACCGTCCTACGCCTTTGTTGTTTTACGTCATTCCCCAATCCCCCATCCTGTCACGCGGTACCGTTCCCGTTTCCTATTGGCTGTAGCTCTCCCAGTCTCGGCTCTAGCCCCGCCCCCACGTGGCGTCGTGACGTCCAAAGAGATGTGCTCCGCCTCCTCCGTGACCGTTAAAGGCGGCGGGAAAATGGAGGACTACAAGTGGAGGTGAATCAGAGATTGTCTAAAGTGTCGTACAGTATAGCGCCATGTTTATAGTATTTAATTAGAGCGAAACTGTCCAAATTAATTAGTAATTTTCAATGTTATATGATTATATCGCCATCATTATTAATATAGTGATCACTCTATATAATGTAGAGACAGAGTGGAGCTGAATCAGAGGTTATCAATCATATATAACACCATGTATATAATATTTAATTAGAGAGAGTGTAAGTTAATCATAGATTATTAGTGTTATATAACGTAATCATCATTTTTAATATAATCACTCCACTATAATATAGAGACAGTGTTGGGTTGAATCAGATTCTCAATAATATTGTATACTCATTCTATATGAATAAAATAACACCATATATATATACTGCACAATGAGAGAGAGACAGTAGAAGCTAATCAGAGATTTTTAATATTCTATAACCATTATTATCGCTGTAATGATAACACTATCATATAGAGGCAGAGTTGGGGTGAATCAGAGATTGTCATTAATATCATATACTCATTCTTGTTCATATCAATAGTATAACACCTATACAATTAGAGAGAGAGAGAGAGACAGAGTAGAAGCTAATCAGATTATTAACATTCTATAACCATCATTATTGATATAATGATAATATTGTATAATAGAGACAGAGTGGGAATGAATCAGAGATTGTCAATAATGTCACACATTATAGCACCATGTATATAGTATTTAATTAGAGAGAGAGAGACAGTAGAAGTTAATCAGAACTTAATAAAGATTATGTAGCCATCATTAGTAATATAATGATAACACTATATAATGTAGAGACAGAGTGGAGCTGAATCAGAGGTTATCAATAATATATAATTAGAGAGAGTAGAAGTTAATCAGAGATTAATAATGTTATATAACATAATCATCACTATTAATATAATCACACCACTGTACAGTATAGGACAGAGTGGGGTTGAATCAGATTCTCAATAATATTGTATACTCATTCTTGTTCATATCAATAATAATAACACCACGTATATACTATACAATTAAAGAGAGAGAGAAGTTAATCAGTGATTATTAATATTCTGTAGCCATCATCCTTATGTAATGATAACACTGTATATTATAGAGACAGTGGAGCTGAATCAGAGGGTATCAATCATATCATATAACACCATGTATATAATATTTAATTATAGACTGTGACATAGCAGAAATTAATCAGATATTATTAATATTCTATAACCATCAGTATTAATATAATTAGACTATTATATAATATAGAAAAGAGTGGAGGTGAATCAGAGATTATTAATATTGTGATCATGTAAGCATTATCCTTCACATAATGAAAGCACTCATCTAGAAACAGAGTGGAGGTGAATCAGAGATTGTCAATAATATATAATCATTCTTAATCATATAATCAATAACTTAACACCATGTATATACCATACAATTAGAGAGAGAGAGAGATATGGTCTAGAAGTTAATCAGAGGTGTAAACATAGGAGATATGATTAGTAAGTTTGCAGATGACACCAAAATTGGAGGTGTAGTGGACAGCGAAGAAGGTTACCTCACAGTACAACAGGATCTTGATGAGATGGGCTGGGAAGTGGCAGATGAGTTTAATTTAGATACATATGAGGTGTTGCATTTTGGACAGGCAAATCAGAGCAGTACTTATACACTTAATGGTAAGGTCCTGCGGAGTGTTGCTGAACAAAGAGACCTTGGGGAGCAGGTTCACATTTCACTGAAAGCGGAGTCGCAGGTAGACAGGTTGGTGAAGAAGGCATTTGGTACGCTTGCCTTTACTCCTTTGAGTAAAGGAGTTGGGAGGGTCAGATTGAGGCTGCACAGGACATTGGTTAGGCCATTTTTGGAATGCTGCGTGCAGTTCTGGTCTCCCTGCTATAGGAAAATGTTGTGAAACTTGAGAGGGTTCAGAAAGGATTTACAAGGATGTTGCCAACAGGCTGGGGCTATTTTCCTTGGAGCCTCAGAGGCTTAGGGGGTGACCTTTATTGAGGTTTATAAAATCCTGAGGGGCATGGATGGGGTGAAAAGGCAACGTCTTTTCCCCGGGGTAGGGGAGTCCAAAACTAAAGGGCATAGGTTTGAGGTGAGAGAGGAAAGATTTAAAAGGGACCAAAGGAGCAGCTTTTCCACACAGAAGGTGGTGCATGTATGGAATAAGCTCCCAAAGAAAGTGGTGGAGGCCGGTACAATTACAATATTTAAAAGGCATCTCGGTACATGAATAGGAAAGGTTAGATGGATATGGTCCAAATGCTGGCAAATTGAACTGGATTAATTTAGGATATCTGGTCGGCATGGACAAGTCAGACCAAAGGGTCTGTTTCCATACTGTACAACTCTGACTTTATGACTAATGAGATAATCACACAATGTAATACTATGTTTATAAATATATAATCAAAGAGACAGAGTGGAAGTGAATCAGTGATTATCAATAATATAATCACAACGTATAACACTGTATAATCTGAGAGACAGAGTAGGGGTGAATCAGAAATTATTAATATTAACATATTTATGACATATAATCAGGGAGAAACAGTCAGAAACAGACAGACAAAGAGAGAGAGAGTCAGAGACAACAGACTCGGAGATGAGTGACACAGTTTCGGAGTGGTGTGAGGGGGCCATTTCTCCCTCAGTTTTGGGATTGGTATCAACGGTCAGTTTTGGGGTTTCCGTGAACATCACAGTGTTGGTGAAGGGTTTATAAGCTGTCGGTAAAGCCACTGATTCTGATTGTCTTTTTTCATCTGTCTGACAGCTCTGTGTTTAGTCCAGGAAACCCTTTCGGACAATCTCAGCTCTCCCGCAGTCACTACCACCCATCCTCTCCCCAAAGGATACCTCAGCAGCCGGGCAAAAAGGTGAGACTAGGGTTGGCATTGTTAGGAGCACAGGCCGGGTTGAAGGGGTTGGAATATGGTGAGCTCATCCTCCCGGTTTAATGCTGGCCTTGACTGTCACCCAGACTACCACTCTCTTTGCCAGCCTCAAGTGTAAGAACAGAGACCTGACTACCTGGGGAAGCACCTGACAACATGCTGCAGAGGAGGGGTACATACTGAGGAAGTGCCGCTTTTAATGACTCAGTTATGTCTCACCTTCCAGGTAGTGAAACCAGGCCAGTGCCAGCTACCTAGAGCATCGCTTACATCAGAACCTCCTCTGGCCTCACAGGATGCCCCGAGACAAACTGACCAGCCAGCGGGCCAAGGTGAAGGGACAGATGCTGGGATAGCTAGCCCCTTGGTAGAGTCCTGGCCATCCACCGAGAGCAGCTCTCTCCTGATGCCTGAGGGAGAGCCAGGAAGCGAGGCAAGGGTACGGTCCACGGCAGAATCGCTTGTGTCGCGGGAGATGTTCCGTATGGACCAAGGTTGTTTGGGAAGTCCACAGACTGACCCCGCGGAGAGTTCGATTATCGCAAAGTGAGTGACAACACCACCAACTTCACAGTCAGCCAGCGGATCCTCACTGGAATAACGTGACGAGTCCCAAGATAGAGAGTGGATAGGAGCAAGGATCTGCTTCTTACACTCTCTATCCTGGGACTCGTCAGATGGGCTGGATGGAATCATGCTGTTAGTCTCGATTATTTACACGGTATAGTTTCCAATTGGCTTTAGGTGTGTTAGACAGGTCGCCTTTGCTCAGCGCTACCCCCACCCCCCCACCCACCCCTTGTGAAGGATTGCAGCTTAATCCTGGCCTGTCCATCTGCATTCAGGTACATCCAGCGATTCCGACATGGCAAACCACTGAGCAGAGAGGAACGGGAGTGTGCTACCACTGGAATCGACACAGAGAGCAGTGAGTTCTGGTGGCTTAGGAGCTCACCCCCGAGCAGCTCAACACCGACACAGGAGACACACCAGCACCACCCAGGTACAAGAGCACTCCTGTATCAACAGTTACTTCAGCAAGGACAAAATTATACTGCTCCTCCTCGACAACTGTCAATCATTTAGATTCCAGTCTGCAATTCACTCCTGGGTGTCTGTTATTCTGTATATAAACCACCCCAAACCCCACGATTGGATTCCAGTGCATAACTCACCCCAGGGTATCTGTTATTCTATATATAAACCACCCCAAAATCCTCAGTTGGATTCCAGTCTGTAACTCACTCCCAGATATCTGTTACTCAACACAATCTGCTGGATTATATGCTTTGTAACATGAAGAGGAGGCAGTTGTCAGAATGGCTGATTAGTGGAAACCTCCTCATTTGGTGGGTGTCGTTAGAATTGCTGAAGCCTGGTGAGTTTGAGGCGAAAGGTTGTCTTTGATGCTTCGCTATTGCCCACAGATATTCGTTCATTGGCCATTGAGGAAAGAGAATCTGCCTCTCGTTCTGCTCAGCAATGTGGACACTTGCCTGCGGAAATATCTCAGCCCAGCTTCCCAGGACTGTCCTCAGGAGTAAGTATTCATGTGCGTCTGTGCTGTGCTGTCAGAGGTTTCCGAGCATCAGTGCTGCGGAAGGTGGTATCATCCTAGCGATGTGTCTGTCTTTACTGTTGACAGCGATCTGCTCTGTGTGGGACATAGTCCTGCACGCCAGCAGTGTGTTTCATTGCATCTTTGTTATTGAATGAGGTGGGCTGTACAGTGCATCTCAGACACACCTGTGTTAGGGAGAGGAGAATTCAGTCAAGCTTCCTGCTCCTGATCGCTGTCCCTGGGTTAGACAGAGAGGGGATCTCCACTGTGGTCTGAAGAGTCATCTGTCCCTTCTCGCTGGATGGTTAATATATAGAATAACAGATATGCGGGAGTGAATTACAGACTGGAATCTAATCGAGGGGTTTGGGATGGTTTGTATATAGAATAACAGATACCCGGAGGGAGTTACAGTGTGAGATCTGTAGACACTGCTGTATGTCAGCTCGTTTCTGTTAAAGTCTCCAAAATGCATTTTCTTTTCCAGGGTGAACGTTTAGATGTTTCCCGGCTGGAGCCCTTTGACCTGGAGACCGTTCATCTCCAGGAAAGAGCAAATCGCCTGCTGCAGCGCAGGTAAGATGCTGTGTGACCCCACTGGCAATGCGTGCGGCTGCTGGGTGGCTGCCAATCAATACAAAGCATGTCAAAGGGTCCGCAGAAACCAATCCTGTCAAAAAGAATTCCCCTTCCCAACCACCACTTGTGCCCTGACCTTATTGCTAACCGTTCATACAAATGGGGCGGGGAGTTCGTGGACTTCTTTGGCACCAAGGTTGAGAGAATTTGCACTCTGCACAACAAATCCTTTCTCTCAGTATGGTTTCAATGGGAACAGCTATGGGGACCAATCAGCTCCTCAAACTCCTGAGTCACTTGAGCAACACCCATTGCTCAAGTGTGTGGACTCTACTCGAGCAAATTCTGCTAGTAAAACATGAAACAAAACCTCTACTGCTGCAGTGAGAGCGCCGAGGATCCCTGAGGGCCAGTGCTGAGGGAGCGCCGCGCTGTCGGAGGGCCAGTGCTGAGGGAGC